CCCGCTGCGCCACCAGGGAGGGCCAAAAAAAATAAATTTTAATAAATAAATAAATAGCCAGATAGAAAAAAGTTTAGGCTTCAAGAGCTATATGTTCTCTGTTGTGAATAAGCCTCCCCTAGATATTCACATCTTCCCAAGATGTGTCTCCTTGGCATATGGATAGAGGCAAGCTCACTCCCTTAACTAGGCATTACTCAGAATAGGATTTTTAATCACAAATAACCTTTTTATCAGATAAATTTATCTATATGGCAGGGCAAACAACAAAGCACAACTCATTTATTAGGAGAAAATTTTCTCACTTCTCTGGTTTCTTCTGAGGCTGGACAAACTAACATCAGGGAAACTAGTAGGAGAAAAAGACCAAATTTAATAACATACATATGGAGATTCTGAAGTTAATGAACAAACTTGGATTTTTATACTCCGCTTTGGGACCTGTGGTATCAGGGAGAGTTTTTCATGACAAGGAGAGGATGACTTCATGCAAGAAAATCTCGCCTCGAGGTATTTGCCCTGCTGAAGATAGGTTTCTCTGATAGGTTATTTCTGGAGATATCCCTAAATCTAGATAATGTGCATTCTTTTAGTAGTGGTAAGTTTCTCCCCAGGCACAAAGGCCAGCTAACTTCAGTTCCACATACCGAGGGGACTCTAGGGGAAAAGACCTACTTGGGACATCTTTAAAACTCTATTTGAATCTTTTGGCAAGTCTGACCCTATGGACCTTTGTCTTGCACACCTCTTCCCTAAGCTTCTATTCCATTCCCTATTCTGGATATGTATCTTCCTTTTGCCCTGTGGGTTTAGAACCCACATCTATGTCAATTCTCCATACTATGTAATGAAATGTGTTCTTTTCTTCCACTAATCTGTCTGATTGTTCTATCAGCCCTTAGAAAACCCAGTGTGGAGTAGGGGGAAATTTCCTTTGCTCCATTATAGTTGCAACTATTTAACTCCACTTCTATAGAACAAAAGCAGTCACAGACAATACACCCTCTCTCCTTTTCACCTTCTGGAATAACAGAAATACAAGAAAAGTGTTTTCTTTACAAATTGCGATTACTACAGAAATGACACTAAGCATTTAAAGGTTGTCTTGATAATTATTGTAAACAAATCAGCAAAAGCACTTAAGAGCCAGAATATAGAAATAGTTGAGTGCCACAGGGTATTTATTAAATAAGGGCTTGTTGAGTAACAGTGTTGAGCAATGGAAAATTATTTAATTGCTTGAACTTTTGTACTGCAGATAGCATTTGATTTATCTTGGCTTTTTTGAATAGTGAGTTTCATTTTGTATTTGTAAGATTTCTTCTTATTCTTCTGTCTTATCCATAACATCCAACACAGAGCCATGCATGAAAAGAGTTGAAATGTGTTTTCAATTGAGGTTCACAATTAAGTAGTTTGTGAATCACATATGTTTTCTTTGGCCATTATCATGTTTTTTAAACTGAATGTGAGTTATTTTGGAATTCATTTTCCAGTTCACTACAGATCTTACTGTTCACTCCTACAGAAAACTACTTCATGGTTTTCTCTCTTCCTGGCCAGTGAAAGTACTTTAACTTGTTCCCCATATGTTAAATAACAGAAAGAATTAGAACAAATTAATCCATATGTTATGATTTGCTAACCTACAGCACTAAGGTATGTGTTTTACATGTTAATAATATTTCAGTGTCTACTTTAATAAAATTGACTTTTCTTAAAAATTTTCTATTACTTGGGAATACCATCAGAATCCAATAAAGAATAGATGTACAAGATTACACAGAGTATATAAAATAACTCCAATTTGTAGGAAGAGAATATAAGAAATTCACCAAAATGCCAGGTTATTAACCTTTGGATTGTGGGATGATTTTTCTTCTTTTATATTTTTTTCAAGTTTTCTGCAGTAAGCATAAATTACCTTTCTAATCAGGAAAAAAAATGTTTTGCATAAAAACAATCTTATACAAATTCAAGTTGACTGCCCTTCCTGCTCTTGAAATTTGTTATGAGGAACACAATAAATAAATATGGAGTGCCAAGTTGGTTCCACACATGGTTCTTTCTATGTATCCACAGTGATCCTATGAGGGAGAGCTATTAAAGCTGTCATTTTTGAGATAGAGAGCAATTAGTTTGGTTTTATTTAATGGAAATATTTTGAAAGTTCTAGGACACGTGGATATAGAAATCTGAAGAAAAGAGGGGAAAAGAAAGATTTTAAAGAGCAAAATTAAATCAAAACCAGTGAAAATGGGCCTCCCTGGTGGTACAGGGGTTAATTATCAGTGCTATCAAGTTATCATCAGCCATTGCAGCATGAGTTCGATCCCAGGCCAGGGAGCTTACCCACATAGAGCTTGCGTATCTCACCCACTCTCCCCTCAGCAGTGTGTTTCAGTCGACCTGCCTGTTCTGCTCCCCACTTTGTCTCTGGTGAATCCTCTCACCCCCTTTTAAACTCCCGTACCTCTAGCCTACACCCCAGTTCTTGTATGCACAGGAAATGAAATAAATCTTTTTTAAAAAACAGTGAAAGAAGAGATAGAAAATAACAGGACAAAGGCATAGGAAATGATTATTCATGCACTCAGCAAATATTTAGTTTCAACTATTTCAAAACACTTTGCTGGAGACTGGGGCAATCAGGCAGGTCAGACCGAGATGATACAACAGTACACATATGATAGGTTTTCTATCATATCATACATGTAAATGTCAACATAATACCCTACATTATTGGAGAATAAAATTGAGAGACTATGCTTGCCAACAACAACACCAACAACAGAAATTAAAGAAGGGAAATGAGTCTCATCTGGGAGATAGAGAGACACCACAAAGTGAATTAAGAGGAAAAAGGAATTACTTCTGGCTAGAGGCATAGGGGAGACAAGAAAAGAAGCACGTGCTCACCCAGACAAAGAGTTTCTCCTGAGTCCAGGCCTGTACTGCCAGCTGTTTACTAGTCAGCTCTCCCAAGTGACCTGAAGGCCCCAGAAATTCTGTGTCCTCATCTCAATCTGTCACCCACCTTCTTCTCCCTCTGTGTTCCTCACCCCCCACTTAATAGGGTTGGTATTCATTCAGGTCATTTATTAGCAAGTCATCACGGAGAGTCTGGTATGTGTGCGCATTAGACCTAGTAAAAAGATGCAGATATTAAACAAGTAAACACAAAACATAAAACTACAGAAAAGAAAAATGGGAGTTTTAAAGAATGGACCTTCAGAGTAGATCTCTTTGAAGAAATAACATATAAACTGCAAACTGAAGGGTGAAAGGGAGCCAGGAAGTTTCACTGTTGAAGGTGAGGTTCCCAGCAGAGGGAAAAAACAAACAAACTGAGGCTCAGGAAAGAAAACCTCTGTAACTATTGACACATCAAGGAGAAGAGGGGGTCACTGAGGTGTGGTGGGAATTAAAGGAAAAGAGGTAACAAGGGTTTTATGGTTACTCCTCCAACTTCTGAATTGTATTCTAAAGGCAATGAAGAAACAGCAATGAAAACGCATACCATTCTTACCCTCATGGAGAGCACAGCGAGAAATACAGACCACTGAACAGCTACTATCAATCTGGTCATTAGTATTACGTTAGGGGACATGTTTGCGTCTTAGGAAAGCACTGAGGGAGACCTTAATCTAGTCTGACAGGTATGTTCCCATTGGACCCACCACCACAACTATAGTCTTCAGCGTCTGTAATAGTTTTCTAATCTGTCTTCCACAATGCTACCAGACATTTTTCTTTAACATAAAGAAAAGCATGCTAAAAGCACCTATGTTCTCCCTGGGGAAATTTCCAAATTCCTTGATCTCATGTCACCACTTGGCCCTAACTTTTATCTTCTTGGTTTAAAACCACTACTACTTGGCCCTCCCTGGTGGCGCAGTGGGTTAAAGCACTGCACTAAGAAGCTTAAGCCACTTCTGCGTGAGTTCAATTCCCGCCTACCCCGGAGGAGATCCACATGGCATGGCAGACCTCTCCTGACCCCCCACCCCCCGCACCCCTCAGCAGTGTACTTCATTCATTCATTCATCTGCCTGTTCTGCTCCCCACTCTGTCTCTGGTGAATCCTCACCCCCCGCATCTCTGGCCTGTACCCCAGTTCTGTATGAATAAACAAATAAATCTTTTTTTAAAAAAAAACCACTACTACTTAATACCTAGCACAATGATTTTAACAACAACAACAAAAATTCTTTACTTAACTCTGGTAAGAAATACATCTTAATTGTACAAATGAACATATCCACATAAAAACACTAATACAAAAATTTCAAAAAAAGAATGCAAGTAGGACTACTCTGATATCTTCTATTCTTTTTGTTCTATACCTTTTGTTCTTTCTTTAAATGTTGCCAGTGATCTATTTATGACCTGCTAATGTGTCCTGGGCTGAAAACCAGGGGCCACTCCCTCCACCAGTGCCCTCTCTACCAGACTTTCAAACTCTGTTCTTTCGTCCTTCACCCAAGCAGAGGAACCCCCAGAGTATCCTATCCCTCTTCTTCCTTGTTCATTTGGCAAGTTGCCACCAACATTTCAAGATTCAGTTCAAATGTTATTACTTCAGAGAAACCTTTCCAGACGCTTCCCCATTTACTATGCTTCCAACTTGAAACGCCCAGGGGGTGGGACATCATATGTGACAGCCTTGTCATGTAAGTGTGTATTATAATGGCTTAAAGAAACACAAACAAGTTAGTCTGCTCTGGACTAGGTTTTTTGGACTTCAGCAACCTGTTTAATCTCAGACCCCCAGACAGAGTCTAATCTGAAGCAAAGGTCAGGGGATGTTTTGCAGAATAAATGAGAAATGATCTGAACTTGTACCCTCCCTACCCCTCACCATCTTGGTTGTGTGCCAAACTGGCTTTTTTTTTATTCCTCAAACACACCAAAGTTTTTCCTCCCTGAGTCTTACTGTAGCACTCTTTCCCCAGCCATTTCCATGGAAGGCTGCTCCAACTTTATCTTTGGGTCAATAGTCTACTGTCCAAGAGGCTGTCTATCCAATCTCCCACCGCATTCCCTTTGTCTTTATGGCATTTATCACTCTCTAAAACTACCCTGCTTTCTGTTTATTGACTTAATTGTCTCCTGTAGTAAAGCGTTAGCTCTCTGAGGGTTTGCGAGTTCCCCCAGTAACTTAAGCAGCTAGGCAGGTACATGGCTCAGAGTGAGCCCTCAACAAAATATCCGGTGACGAATGAGTTAGATAGGAGTGAAGGCAGGTGAAGCCGGTCTAGAAAACAGTCTTAATTAAGGTCCTGGCAGAGCCCGGTGCCTGGGAAAATGCCAGGCACGCGGGCCCACACCGGTGAGGGAGAGTTTCACGCCTACCAGTAATACGTGACCGTGCAGGCCGTGCACACCCGCTCGGCCGGGGCTTCGCACACCTCACAGCAGAGTCGGCGCCCCTTGGGCACTGCCAGCGGGTAGATCACGTCCATGTCGCGGCCGCGGCCGGCTGTGTCCGTCTCTAGGACGGTTGCCAGGCGAGGATACGCCGGACGCAGGGTCACGTGACAACCCCGTGGCCCTCCCCGGTCCCCTGAGTTTCAGGGACCGGGAGGGGTGTGGCTCGACTGACACCTGGCGCATGTTGCGGGGATAAGTAAAACAAAACCAGAAAAGAAAAGAAAAAAATCCCACAAGTCCTACAGGTTAAACGCCGGGCATCTAACCTAGTGGAGCCCGAATCCAAAAGGGCTTCTCCACGCGGTGATGGGGAAGCGCAGCTCACTTTTCACCCAGCTGGTAAAGTGATGCAAGGAGAGGTAGCTTTTCCAGATGCCTATTTCTTGTAGCCGGAGAGCCAGTTCAGTGGCGACTTCGCTGGCCTTTGGGCAGGGCGAGCGCACTCATCCAGACGGGAGACGGCCGGGGCGCTGCCCAGCGTAGACAGGTACCGCCCCCTCGCCACTGCGGCTGCGCGTGGAGCAGGTACCCGAGCCGGGGGCGTGGCGCCGGCGGCCCTGAAGCGTGCGCAGGCGCCGGGGTCGCCCTGGGACTGATGGCGGAAGTTGACCTGGTCGCCGAGTTCCCCCAGCCGGCGGGTGCTGCGCGCTGGGCCAAGGTTATGGCTCGCTTCGCGGCCCGCCTGGGCGCGCAGGGCCGACGAGTGGTGTTGGTCACGTCCGGAGGCACCAAGGTCCCGCTGGAAGCGCGGCCAGTGCGCTTCCTGGACAACTTCAGCAGCGGCCGGCGCGGTGCAACCTCCGCCGAGGCCTTCCTGGCCGCTGGCTACGGGGTCCTGTTCCTTTACCGCGCTCGCTCTGCCTTCCCGTTTGCCCACCGCTTCCCGCCCCAGACCTGGCTGTCAGCTCTGAGGCCCTCCGACCTGACCCGTTCGGGCTTGCTGAGCTTCGAGGCCGAGGAGAGTGCACTCCCAGGCTTCGCCTCGGCTCTGCGGAGCTACCAGGAGGCTGCTGCTGCCGGCACCTTCTTGGCGGTAGAGTTCACCACTTTGGCAGACTATTTGCATTTGCTGCAGGCTGCGGCCCAGGCGCTCAATCCGTTAGGTGCGTTGTCTTTGAGTCCATTTGGCTGCAGAGGGAGCCTTTCTCACCGGATAAGTTACTCCTACTCCATCATTACCTTGGGACTTAAACAGTTGGGGAACCTAAGTTGAAAAGAGCTGATCCTGTACTCTTCTCCGATTCATTGCACCATGTGCTTCTCTTTGCAGGCTCCTCTGCGATGTTTTACCTGGCTGCGGCCGTGTCAGATTTCTATGTTCCTGTCTCTGAAATGCCTGAACACAAGATCCAGTCATCTGGGGGCCCACTGCAGGTGGGCGCTTCTCTTCCAGAGATCTGGTCCCCTACCACCCATCTTGAGTTAACTCCCTCTTGATCTGGAGATGGCCTTACTGCATTCCTTGTGTGCTAGGCACTAGGGATTCAGAGATGAATAAGACACCACCCTCCCTCAAGGACCTCACAATCTAGTGAGGGAGCTGGACACACATAATTACAATACAGAATGGTAAATGCTGTGATAGAGGTACGTACAGAATGTGATCAGAGTGTGGGGTGAGTGAACCTTGGGAAATGCAAGGAAGGTTTACTGGACATGACTTGAACTTAGTGTTAAAAGATGAGCAGAAATCATTCTCCAACCGTTGGAGTTGAGTGCTGTGAACCGAACCTGTTTGGTAAGGCTGGAGAGGGGAGAGTGCTGAGGGTGGAGGGCAGACAGAAGAGACAACTTTCTTCATAGAAGACTATTGCTTCTTAAGGAGTTTGGATTTTATCCTGTGGAGCCAGGGGACACCAAGATAAAGTTTTTGTTTGAAAAGAAGACTAGCAGAGAATTAGAAAATGGAGGGGGTAAATTGGTAGTTTAAAGAAGAGATGGGGAAAGGCAGAGGTGTTCAAGTGAAAATAAAATCAGTTCTGTTTCCTTAGTTCTAAGTTGTGCTTTCTAAGAAACAAGTTTTAAATGGAAATAGCCATTCTACATGTGCAAGAAATACTTTAGGTTGAGAGGTTTTAAAACCCAGTATTATTTGAGTTTTGACAGATTTCTTACACTTGCATCAGTAAATTACTTGCATTTGTTTCTTCGAGGTTTTGATTTTAAAAATAAAGGTGAATGTTTGACAAAATGACGTTTTAAAAGTTCTTTAAAAAATAGCAATGAGGGCAGCAGGACTGATTCATAAAACACAGCTTATCCCAGAATATGTTTTAAGACTTTAAATCAGGTATCATTACAAACCCTACAGAGTAAAGGCTTTTAAGCTAAGCATTTAACATGTTTTGAGAAGTTTGACGACGAGAAATCCCACTTAAATTTACATAGCCATAAATCTGAGTCCCTGCTTCCTTAATTTCCCATAAGACTGACCTGGTAGTTAGTGACCTGTGCTTATTAAGCTTTTCTTTTTCCAATACAGATAACAATGAAGATGGTGCCAAAAATGCTTTCTCCTTTGGTTAAAGACTGGGCTCCCAAAGCATTTATAATTTCCTTTAAGTTGGAGACTGACGCCTCCATCGTAATTGATCGTGCTCGAAACGCTTTGGAAGTTTATCGACATCAAGTGGTGGTTGCTAATATCCTTGAGTCAAGACGGTCCTTTGTGGTTATTGTAACCAAAGATTCAGAAACTAAGTTATTGCTATCTGAGGAAGAAGTAGAAAAAGGTATAGAGATAGAAGAGAAGATAGTGAATGATCTTAAGTCTCGACACACCGCATTTATATGTGACAAAAACTGAAGTAAAAAGCCCTTATAGGATTAAAATTTGTTCAGTGGACCGGGACTCTTACCTATGATGAGAATTAGAATGACTTCTTTGATTTCATAAAGATAGAGACAATGAAAGGAAAAGCCGTGAGTGATGTGCAGACTGATATGATTTAGTATTTGTCTTTTAAGGCCAAAGGCAAAGCAATTATGACACCTGCCTGACACTTGCCTGAATGCGAACTTGATTTTGAAAATGAACATGAGCTGTTTCTCATCTTTTGAAAAAGAGCTTTTTTGGGAATTATATTTCTCAAAATATACATGTAGGGCCTGAATAGTGACTGTGTCCATACCATAAAAAGGATTATGGATACATTAATAGCTGTAGATCAGATATCTATGATGCCTACTCTGTGGTAGGCCAGAGGATTATGAGGATTAAAAAGGTGAATAAACATATAGTTTGGGGAATGGATATATAAAAAATTAAGTGCAATAAAGTATGTGCCTAAAAGCTGACACAGTGGAAAGGATGTTGTTTTTTTGGCAATTCATCAAAGATGGGAGTAGGAGAGAATGACACGTGCCTGAAGTTAGATTGCCTGTAGAGTGATGAACTTCCCACTTGTTTACTTCATGCATTTTGTCCTAGAATCATTCCATATATGACTTAATTAACTTTCAAATATTTTAGAACTGCTCTTCAGGGAAACTGAAACCTGGTCCTCCAGCTGGGGCAGGGGCTATTTGGTGACCTTTTCCCTGAGGGGAGCATGATAGTCCTCTTAGCAGGGTTTGACCTCTCCAGCTGTGCTGTCTCTTAGCTTTAGCAGTGTAAACAATTGATTTAATGTAATATAATTTTTTCCCTCTTCCATAGAAGGGGAAATAAATCTTTGCCAAATAATGTTAGTTGTGAGGCTTACATTTTATGTAAGGCATTAGCTTGCTTCCTGCACATAATTAAACAGGTGGTTGCAATCTTTATTTTTCTCACCAGCAAGACAAGTGTGCACCCTCTTCTTGAATCCTTGAGAAGTTTTCAAAGAAACTAAAGGCCCAATCCTTAGGTTGAAAGTGAACAAGAATTATAGTCCAGAAAAGTTACCTAAATGATCCCGTCCAGAGCTAAATTTGAAAAGCTAGTAATAACTAAATAGAAGTACTGTGCTTCATATAAATATTTAACTTTAGATGATTTGTGATATTACATGGCATCACTTGGGAAGAGTAGCCTAGTGTGTTTGTTTGATTGACTAATGGAAGTACGATAAATTTTACTTGAAAAGATATGAGAAGTGTCAAGGCACTCTGAAATACTTTACTAGATCAAAAGTGTGACCTTGAGTAAAGGAGAAATAACTGGCAATCAGGACTGTTACAGAAGAAGCAGTCCCAATGGACAAAAATTTTAAATCAACTTCAGATCCAGTTGGCAAAACCTCAAAAAGCACAGGCTTTGTCAGCAGTGGCTGCAGTACTGAAGGGGCTGGGGATAAAGCGTGGAATTTTGTTCCCTCCGCCTATAGTTTCATGTGGATGACGGTCATTTTCGTTTTTGAATGTATGAACAGAACAAATGGAGTTAAAACTAGAAGGGATCCTAATGTTTGTGTTTACAATAATTACCAGTTCCCAAAACGTCCTGTTTTGTCAATGATTAAATGCAACAACCACTACTCTACATGGAATTATTTCAGGTTTTTCAACTCTGTAATTTCCACTCAGGCAGGACACTTAAACAATATTTGAATACGTGACTCTTCCAGGGAAGTTTTTTATTAACAACAAATGGAAGTGTGTGTAAAGAAAGAAATAGTGAAAAAGAACATGAGTTAACAAAAGCAAACTTGATTTAGATTGGAGGATCAAGGAATGTTTCCCCGAAGAAATGACACTTGAACTGATAAATAGGAGTTAAGTCGACTACAGGCAATGGTGTTGAGCATTATACACCAGGAAACTGACAAATCCAAAAACCTGCGAGGACTCTGGTGTCAGAGGGAAAGATACTTCTAAAAAGCACTTCTAAAATGTAAGCGGTAAGATCCATTCAAAAAGTTGGTTAAACAAAAACAGGAGTAAAATCAAGCTCCCATGAACTAACTAGAACTTTGCAATAAGAGCCTATAAATGAAGATGATAAAATTGAGCTTATGTTAACATTTGTGTCATTTAGAAATTTTTATTCGTATTACGTAGGTAGAGGATATGATTGACCTAAGCCGAATTTTCAATGCAATTGATAATTCTAGTGAAGTCGGATTTTTTCATTTTTACAATAAGCCAGGTCCAAAAATGTGTCAGTTGCCCCCAAATAGTGTCAATTCTAGGCCTAAAATTCAGAAATCCTGCCCTCGATCCTTTCTAAGAAGAAAATGACTCCCAGAAAAATAAATCCAAAGCCGGAGTTCTAGGTAAGATCTGAGGACAAACTACTTGAGAACTGCAGAAGCGGGGTCCCCGCTCAAAGTTGCAAACTGGCGCCTTGACGTTACTATGGTTACTACAAGCCAATGGAACCGTGCCTTCGATCCAGCCGGAAGGGCCCTGCCCGGGCCGCAAAGGCCAATGGTGCGCATCGTAACAATGGTTTCCACAGGAAGAACGGCCCGGGAGCCACTGGCGTGCGTCGTTTCTATGGTTCCCGCCGGACGGACGTTTTGGCGTCTCTAACAGCAAGCGCGGTTGCTATGACTCCCGGGGCTCCGAGGGTGCCCGCGGCAAGCTGCTGAGCGCGGGCGGAGTTGGGGGTACGCGGGACCCTCGCCGCCTCTCCAGGGCCATTTCCGGCCTGGACCCGCCCGAGGTTCCCGCCTCCGCCGCGAGACGCGCCCCGCTTCGCACCTCCTAGTCTTTGCCACTTCTCTCCCCAGTGAGGCCCGAAACCGCAGAGAATAGCCTGACCAGCTCGGCCCTGCCAGCCTCGGACTGGAGTGATTCGGCTTGCGAGGGATTCGCGGTCTTCCCGGACCACGGGCCTCGAGGGTTAGGCCACTGTTCGTAATTCGAGGTTTGGAACACCCCGAGTGCCGCATGTAGGCGTTCCTTTTTTCACTTTACAGAGCGAGCGGACCTGCACGGGCGACTGCGCCCGAGGGGCCCGGGCTCACGGAGTCCACTGGACCACGGCTTCCCCTGGTTGTAGCCCCTGAACAAAGAGCTGCTTTGGGGGGACCTATGTTTGTCCTGTGGAACCTTCCTTCCTGATGAAGCTCTGGAGGCTTTTGGTTTCCTCAGCACCAGACGTCATCAAGCTCCAACCGCAGCCACTCCTCTCTTCACCCCGAGCTGCAGTTTTCTCACCCTGCTCCTCACACGGCCATTTGCACCCTCTGTTGTCCACGACGCACGTTACCGAGTGTCCGCTGGTGTCCACTACCTCCGTCGTCTGTAGACCAGCTCCTTCTGCTTTCCTGCCACCATGCTTTGGGTAGCTAAGTATTTCACGTTCTTCAGCTCGGATATCATTTGGAAGATTTTCTCCGCCTCCCCTCACTATGGCAGTTTTTCTGTTTGGGGAAAACTAAAAGACTAGGATGCAGAAGCACACGTTGGTAAATAATCCAGTAAATTTCTACAAGCCTAGTATGTTTTGAAAAATGAAGGGGAACACATTGGGGAGTCCATTTCAGGCTTAAGGAAAGAAGATTGCTCCTTGTTTAAGTGAGTCCTTTGTTAAACAGACGTTTCACTGACATATTCATGCATGTAAAAATCATTCGAATGATCACGTAGCAGGATTTCAACTTTAAGCCCATTTGAGCCCAACGTCTTGGTACTGTAGAATTTTCTGGAGAGGCAATGCCTCAGACAGTTCTCATACCTCATAATGTTATTTTCTTTAACAGGAAACATTCTTTGTGGTGGGAAATAAGAAACAAAAAGAATGAGAAGGGGTAATTGAAAATACATGTTTTTGGTAAGGGAGCAGGCTTAATGCTCCTAAAAAGACTGGAACAGAGGGACTTAAAAGCAGATTCATTGAGATCCAGTGCAGTTTTATTTTAGGTTGGAAAGTATTTCATTGGTCCAAAGTGTGTGTTCCTTGTTGAGTCTTACTATCTCTTCTTCAACATTCAAGCTTAAATGTAACTAATTTTGAGGATATGCAAAGCATATATTTTTAACAAGTAAAATTGGGGGCTCTAATGATTTGGGCATTTTTTGTTTCTCAGGCCAATTCATTATTTGTGATGTCTCATGCTTAGAGCCAGGTCATGTTTGCAAATCCTGCTGCGTTTTCAGTTTTTTGCATTAAATGCAAACCAAATAAATTATCTCATAAAAAAAAAAAGACAGTTAGGTGCTATACAATGAGCTTTCCTTCCCCCTTTCAGTATGTATTTATGAAACATCACATTTTTTTTTCATTTCCTTAACTAAATCAGTGATTCTAAATCTCAAGAGCTGTTTTGCCCCCCCCAAGAAATATTTTGTAAACATAACGAAATATTTTCAGTTTTAACTATGGGGGGATATGATACTGGCATCTACTAGGTAAAAAGAAGCAGGGATATATCCATCCTACTTTGCAGAGAACATCCCCCACAGCAAAGAATTATCCAGCCCAAATGGCAGTAGTGTGGAGGTTGAGAAGCCCTCTCCTAACTTATCAAGCTCATTTTTCTGTTCTGTGCCCGTCCTCACTCATAGGTATTCATATGATAATAGTATGTTTGTCTTTTCAGTTTTTATATTTTAAGCATTTAGACATTGCTACGCTATTTTCAATTCTTAAAAAGTGGTTTATCTCATTTGAGAATGGAAAAGGAAGAAACTGTCTTGCAAGTAGTGTATTTAAAATGTCTGTAGTTTTAAATTATATTTAAAGGAAGAAGAAAGAGATTGGAGCAAATAACCTGATGGGATAGTTCTGTTTTCTTGGCCATACTCTGAATTTTGTATGCTAGCATAATTCAAAGGCCATGGGACCCAAAGCTCATCTTTGCTTGGAGCTGGGAGCTGACTGTAGCATGAGGTATAGTCCAGGTGCCTCCCCAGTGGTTGGAGGGCTCCCCTGAAAACAGATGAAAAAAGTAAAAATGACTGCCCCATTCAACTTGTCCTCTTCCCACTTTATCCCATCTCTTTTCTCTATCACTTGGCTTTACCACTTCCGTCTTTTCATCCAGAAGATGCCAAAACACTACATGTGCCTCTTTGCAGAGAGTGGATTTTTAAGATATATAATGAACATTTCTTCAATATGTTGTAGAGAATAGTATGCTTTTACATACTTAGTTAAGAAGTGCAGTTTTAGGCACAGTGTAGATGCCAAAGCCTTTATAATTTAGAGAATGGATTTATATTACCCCAAGGCCTGCTTTTTTTAGTTTAATTATTTTATTTTATTTATTTATGCTACAAGAACGAAAGTGTGGAAGAGGCAAATCTACTGAAATACACAGCTGAGGGAAGCAGCAGGCAAGACAGGAGAGGTCTGCTGTGCCATGTGGGTCAGCTTCCTAGTGCTGCATTGGCAGTGGATAGCTCCATAGTGCTGCAACTTAATCCCTTGTGCCACCAGGGAGACCCTTGTTTTAGAGTTTTTAAGTTACTCAACCACGGGGTCTCAAATCCTTTGGAAAAATGTTTATTTTGGGTTATCATGGCAGAACATGACAGAGGAGTCCAGGTGTTCCAAGTCATGGACATATAAGCTGCATGATGGAACAAGTAAAGGCTAAAGTCAAGATGTGGCAGAAGATAAAACTAGTGGAGTGGTCGGAACCAGATGGCAATCTAGTGCTGAGCTGGGGGCTGAAGTCTTCCATGTAGAAAATCAAGTAAATAGGGCCAGAGATCAAAGATCTTAGCAGTTAGGATAGACTAGTAATAGCTGTCTAGCTCCATATTCAATTCCTATGTCACCATGTTTAGTGTCCAGCATATGCTCTTGTGTCTTCTTCTCTTAGTGACCTTCCTATAAGTAGTGGGGATTGATTGGTGTTTAGAGACAGAAAACCAAAATAATAGTTGCTTGGAAAAGATGTTAATGTATTTCTCATGTAAAAGACAAGAACAGTCCAGACATAGGTCAGAATCTTGAAATTGTCAGAAATGCAAATTTCTTTTATAATAGGACATCATCCGTGACAAGTAGTTTCCATTTTATGGTGTCCAGATGGCTCCTTAAATTTCAGCTAACTTATCTTCATTTCAGTTGAAAGGAAAAGGAGGAAGATAAAAGGCATCCTGCTCCTTTGAGGACATTTCTAAGGGGTGGCACACAATTCTACTTACATCCCATTGGTCAGAGCATGGTACATGATTGTATCTAGCATTGAGGTCATTAGCTGTATTTTCAGTAAAAAAAAAAAATTGTCATATTTCTGTGGAAAGAGGGAGGAATCACTACTGATGGGCATCTGGCAGTCTTTGCCACATAGACTTGTATTTTTTTCTAACTTCAGAGTGTTTCTATTTCTTGGAACTTTTTCTAGCTAGATCCGGAGCTTAGCAGACATGGATTATTATTTAATCCTCCTAACAACCCAATAAGGTAGGCATTATTATATCCATACTGTTTGAGAGAAATCAGGTTTAAGGAAGTTAGGTGACTTAACCTAAGTCACACTACTGAAAAATGGAGCCACATGTATCAGACTTCTACACCCAAGTCCTTAATCACTGTGATAGTGAGAAGGGCAGAGAGCAAACTCCTGGGTTCCTAGAAATGGTGGCTTTGAAGGGTCTGTGGAAGAACACAGAGAGGTAGAGTAAAAACAGGAGAAAGTGATGTTCTATAACAGGAAAAAGAAATACTTTCAAGAAAGGAATGGACAGATCCTTCATGTATAAAAAGAACAGGTGGTGAGAAACAGAAAGCCCAGATGTATAATGTCATTTTTATTTTAGATATTAAGCTTCAATTAATTTTTGTATTGTCAGCCATTTCATTTAAGTGTTCATTATAACTGGATAATGTAACAATTAATGTACACGTGAACTATGCTTTGTAGAGAATCTAACTCTTATACGTATAATGTATCTGTACACGCTTAGTCGTGTGTGTATGTGTGTGTGTGTGTACACATATGCTTATCTCTTCTGCCAAAGGAAACATTTGGAGGACATACTTCACTATCTCAAGAAAGAAGGGATTGAAACTCTTGCTCAGACAGAACAACTCTATTTTGTCTGGTCCATATTCCAGCACAGTGAAGACAGGCTGAGGACTGCTAACAGAAATCTAGAAGAGCTTATAGTGAATCACATGGAAGAAATGAAAGAAGTAAGAGCCAATAACAAAGCTTTAAAGATATGTGTGGTTTTGCGCATTGTCCTTCATTAAATTAGCACATTAAAAATCAACACTGGTAGTTTGCAGATCATTCACATGTAAATCCTTTTCCATGAAATATGTATTGGTTTTCAGTATACTACATGTACAGGATGTTGCCTGGAGATGACAATTGAACGTACAGGTAGGTGTGCTCAAGATCACTTTCATTATCTTGGTAAATTTCATCCTTGTCTTAATAGCTAGCCTTCCAGCTGACTCTGTTTCTTGTTGGTAGACTTCGAAACCTGATTAGCCAACTTCTCAAAGGTGGGCATCTGTTAAGAAAATTCAGAGAAATTTGTAGGAAAGGAGACACTGGCTTATTTTTGACAATAAATATAATTTCTAGAGGAGACACATGTGCTGTACCTGACACATTCTCTCCCTGATGGAAAGCCAAATTTTAATCAGATGTTTACTTGATGAACTAATGAGTTAAAGCTTTTATAATACTACTAAGACAGCCAGATTTCAGCAATAGAGCTATCCATGCCTGCCCTCATTTCTGGACCTCTATATCCTCAGAGTAAGGTACCTCGCCCTGCAATGGGTAGATAATGACATCTTTTGACTCACTTTTTGTGTGTGTGTGTGTTCCCAGTACTTATTTTCTGACATATTCTTTCTGTAAATAAGTTAGCAAATTCTCTCAGGTTGTGTGGGGATCCCTCTGCTTGTATTTCCACATGTCAGCTCAGATATGCTGAATTTTAAATTGAGCTCTTCAAAGGCAATCTGATCTATAGCTCTTTAAAGAAGAATACAGAAATCACTATAGCATAATAAACTACCTCAAGAGTTAACATTAGGTACATGGGGTGGAAATTGTCTTTAGCTGTGACTGTAACTTTGAGTTATTTCTTTAAACTTGAAATTCTTCATGAGTAAGTTGGGGTTATAATAGCTTCTTCAAAAGAATTTGTGGTGAGTCTACAAGTTAATATGTATAAAACAGTTCACACATGTACTTGGCACCAAGCACATATTCCATAAATTATAACTTATTAAAAATAGGTATTGTATCATTTTTAAGAGGAAATGGTAGCTTAACAGAAAGTTATAAAGTTGGACTACAGCTTAGTGCTCCATCTGCTATAACATTCAACTTTTTGCTCATATTCTGAAGAATTGCCCAGTAGGTTTCTAAACAAACATAAAAAATGTAATTCAATTATTTTTGTAGTTACTTAAACCAATTTAACATCGTGTGAAAAACCTCACTCTGGTTCTCCCACACCTGGATATGAAGCCTGGCTCTTCTCTTCATCTTTCGTGTGACAAGGCAAATTCCATAGCCTTTCTCAGTGTTGCCTCACCTATAAAGTGATAATCATCCCAGAGGGTTGGATATTTTAATATAGCGCATGGAGTACATGGTTGGCTTCCAATCATCATTAGTTACATAAAAGTACATTTAGTGATTCTGTCATATTAACCAGAAACTGTTTTTAAAGAGTAACCAGCAATTTTTAAAATACAATTTCCTATTAACATTTCATGCATCTCACTAATCAGTTTTAGCATAGGGTATACATATAATTATTATGTAGATTTTTCTTTATTCATGGGTATCAAAACTTGTAAACTATAGGCAACTTGATTTGAAACCATATGTATCAATGGAGATAAATGCTAGAGATTGTTACTATCTCAGAAATGTGTTGTGATGTGTCATTGTGTCTTTAGAAGTGGTATCTGATAGCATAAGCAGCTGGAAAGAAGTTTAGACAGAGAGACCTATATGTAAGGAAGTTGAGTTTTCTATATTTCCCTCAGAATATAGACATGATGATATGCTAATCTCATAATGGATCTTTTATTTAAACAGCCTTTTAATCTAGCTAAAGATGTGAACCATAGACTAGGAATAAGAAAATGTTATTTTCTTTTTAGGTAGAAAATTATGCAAACCATATCTGTAACTTAACAGAAGAAAGAGAAGTTTTTTCTCATGGTTATAAAAAAGAAAATGAACAACTTAGACAGGATTTCAAAGAGCTCCAACTGAAACAAGGTAAGTTTAGTGTTTTTTTTTTTTAAGATTTATTTATTTATGCATGCAAGAATTGGAGTGCCAGCCAGAAATGGGAGGGGGGAGGTGAGAAGATTCACGAGACAGAGTGAATAGCAAAACAGGCAGATGTACTGAAATACATTGCTGAGGGAAGCAGTGGGTGGGCCAGGAGAGATCTGCCACACCATGTGGGCCACCTCCTGGCCAGGGACCAAACTCATGCTGCAGTGGCTCTCAGTAGATTCATAATGCTGAGACTTAACCCCTTGCGCCATAAGGGAGGCCCAGAATTTTTGCTTTTATAAAAACATAACTTTTGTTTCTAATGCTAAAAGTTAATATGTAAAAATTATAGAAAATTTGGCAATGTATAAATGTAGAAGTGGAAAATTACGGCATATTCTTCTCCCCAAGGAAAATATTTATAATGTTTTAAGTATATTTTCTGCTTGTCTTTTAAAAGTTAGTGTTCTGAGCTGAGTGAGAGAGCACAGGATGGTCGTTTGTTTCAGTGTTTTCCAGCTTCTACCTCATTTGTCATAATTACCTGTGTTAACTCCTCTGGAGCAGTGATCACTTCCTGGTCTAGTGATTTCTGTGCTGTACCCCATAGCACCTGTGCTGTAAAGTGTCTAGCATATTAAGGACTCAGGAAATATTTAGGCTCTACAAAGCCCCAAGGGAAGATATAGGTAGGACCCCTTTAGAATATTCTATTTTGTTTAACTCCGTGCATTAGATGTTTTTATTGTACATAGTCAGTGGTTATATGATCACATATTTATTATTTTCTTTGCTTAGCTTTTCCCCTTCCATATCAGATGTCCCATTTGGGATCACTTTTTTTCATTTTAGAACTCTCTTTCTAAACTGATGAGGGTTTTCCCTTTATTTTGAATCTCATGTGTCTCATGAGACAAAATTTATTATATATTTTGGGAGTCAAACAGAATGTAACTGAGACTGAGTTTCTTACTTACCTTTTGCAATGCCTTGAAAATAATTACAGTCAGGGAACTCCAAATATGATTTGAGCTTCAGCTATGTATATATCTTGAAACAAAATGAAATACTTTATGTGAATGTATAAACTATAGTGTTCTATTTTAACATGAAGTGTGTCTTTTGTCAGATGATACTCATTTTTATGATTAAATCCAATCATAACCTTGTAGATATGTTAGTGTGAACCACATGAAATTGCATACTTATAGGTCAAATATAATCAAATATTCCCAACTTTATGTAGTTCAACCTAATAACGAAATGTACATAGGTAAGATGTTCTGTTTCCTGCTTTCCTATATTAGCTTTCAAGTATGTAGAGGAAATAGTGCAATGTCATACGAGTACATTTGCCTTTTGTTTTATTACTTACAGCAGTTTTATTTCAGCCCCATAATGAAAAACGGGGAAAGATTAAACATCACAAAATTGCCTAGAGAGAGATGTGGACTAAGTAGACAGGTTAGGGATGGCTGCAAAGAACTCAGAAGGCTCACTGGTGAGCTACAAGGGAAGGAGCGAGAGCAGAGTAGATTAGGTAAGCTGTGTCACAGAGGGACATGTCTAACTGTAACCTAATGTTATAAGCAAGAAGCTAGTTTTAGGCAAAACAGGTAGGTTCTATTGGGATTTACTCCAAAGCTCGGAAGGGGATGGAAGTAATAGTGAGAACAGTACAGTTGTGCTGCTGTTCTCACACTGATTAGGAATGATCACTTGTAAGATTTGTGTTACAATACTCATGTTACAATGTCAGTCTCTTACTTCAGGGGAGGTTTTGCTTCCTGCTTTTGTATGAGGCCTTCCTGCCAACTCAGTAGTGATGAGACCCAAGGAAGCAACGTGATAAACCCTGGGCTAGAACACCTGGTTCTGTGTGACCCAGTGCTCCTGCTTCTTCGCTAGACCTTTCTGCCATTATATAATTCTTGAAGAGGACCAAAGCCATTTCCTGAAATTTCATGTTAATATTTCTGGCAACTATTGGCAAAATTCTAAATGTTGTTCATTGGAGGGATGAATTTTAAGTATTGCTGGATATAATTTCTTTTTATAGAACTGGTAATGTCATGGTTAAAACTTCAGTTGTTTGTACTGTATTAAGTGGTGCAAACTTTTCAGCATGGAATCTGGTGAAGAAAGCATATAGGGAAATTATAAATAAATGCAGGATACAAGCAGGAACACTAAGAAGGGAATCAGATAATGCCTCTTGGATAAAGTGATGTTTATGCAGAAACTCAAAGAACAGAGGACAGAGAGCATTCCAAAGAAAGATCACTTCAAATTTGATCACTGTACTAATTGCTTGCTCCTTACATAAATATTCGTTTTCTTTTTAGATGCTGCACTTGAGAAGGCGCAACTAGAAATTGAAAAATTGAAAGAAAATCTGATAAAACTGAAAGAAAATGGTGAGTCATTCTAGCCGATATACTAATATTTCATAATATGCCCAACAACAGTATAATGTTTTAAAATTATACTTGATAATAATTACTACTATTATTACTCTTACTATCACTGCTATTACTGCTGCTCCCACTTGTTATTCACTAAGTGACAGGTGGTCTGCCCCGCACTCTCACTGGTTATTGCTAATCCTCACCACAGTTCCTACTAGTGAGTATTACTATTGCCATTTCATCAATAAAGAAACTGAGTTATGACAAGATTGAGTAACCCAATAGCTACATTTAGTGTTAGAGCTGATAGTTGAATCTCCAAAACTTGTGATCAACATATATAAAGCATATTATTTTACTAAAACACTGAGATCAACACACCTCATAATGCAATTAACAATGCCTCACACATTTTTACTTGATACCTAATAGAATTGGGATTAGCGCAGCTGATCTCTCCTGTCTTGCCCTCAGCCGGGTATTTCACTTCATCCGCCTGTTCTGCTCCCTACTCTGTCTCTGGTGAATCCTCTCAGCCCTGTGGCCTGTACCCCAGTTATTGTATGCATAAATAAATACATCTTTAAAAAAAAGTCTAGGGTTAGTGTCAGCAGTGATAAGAATTACATAAGAATATTTGTAAAAAAGTCTCTGAACCATGCATGGCCTCAACAGTAATAAATAACAGTAGTCTTATGAATACAAAAAAGGAATGCACTCTTTTTTTCAAGAATACATGGAAAATTCACAGAGCCAGATCATTCTGGATCATAAAACAAATTTCAGAGCCCTCCCTGGTGGCGCAGCAGGTTAAAGCACAGCTCTAAGAAGCTTAAGCCACTTCCACATGAGTTCGATCCTGGCCTGCCCTGGAGGAGATCCACATGGCGAGGCAGACCTCTCCTGACCTGCCCGCTGCTCCCCTCAGCAGTGTACTTCGTCGATCTGCCTGTTCTGCTCCCCGCTCTGTCTCTGGTGAATCCTCTCACCCTCCACATCTCTGGCCTGTACCCCAGTTCTATATGAATAAATAAATAAATCTTTAAAAAAATAATTAAAAAAAAAAACAAATTTCAGTGGAAGAACTGAAATCATACAGATTATCTTCTGTGTTTATTTTTTTCTTTTTTGGTGTGTATTCAGAGTTTTTCAAATTTAAGAAATATACATATTAAGCAGGAAAACAAGATATAAAAGGAGAAAAAAAGAAAAAATTTAAGTTAAAAACAAGACAGGTAATGAAGGAGGAAAACAAGGAAGATTTTTTTTTTTTTTTTAAAGATTTATTTATTTATTTATGCATACAGAACTGGGGTACAGTCCAGAGGCTCAGGGGCGGTGAGAGGCTTCACCAGAGACAGAGTGGGGAGCAGAACAGGCAGATCGACGAAGTACACTGCTGAGGGGAGCAGCGGGTGGGTCAGGAGAGGTCTGCCTCGCCATGTGGTCTCCTCCGGGGCAGGCGGCAGGCGGGAATCGAACTCATGCGGAAGCGGCTTCAGATTCTCAGTGCTGTGCTTTAACCCGCTGCGCCACCAGGGAGGGCCAACCAACAAGGAAGGTTTTAAAGCAGCAAATTAAAATGAGGGAAATGTAAAGTTGAAAATAGTTGAAAAAGAAACAGTTTCAAAACAGGAAAGTTACAGACTGCAAATTTGTATTACTGAAGCTTTGATAAGTGTTAGGAAGAGCACATCTGAACCTGAGGAGCCAAGTTGGGAGTCGGCTACCACTTTATGGGTCATGGTGTAGGCAGCCTGTGGTTTTGGTGAATTAACATGATGGAACCTGGAAAATCTGGCCATTCCTTCCCCTAATTTGCCACTTTATTCACTGTGAGGGACCTACTGTTGATGAGAGAGAGAGAATTACTTAGAAGAAAATGAGTTGTGAAAGAGGCACTAGTTTCAAACAGGCCAGGAAGATGACTTTCTTGGTCACTTAACTTTTAGAAAAGTCCAGTTACTAAAAGAACCTCAATTTCCAGAAGCCCTACACTTAATAGTTCCAATTCAAGGCTGGAGTAAGAAAAAGCATTCTACTCTGAGTAAGAAAAGGCATTCTACTCTGTTTTGTTAGGGAGAATATTCTAGGACTGGACTCTCCTATACGGAGAATCTCATGCAGACAAGGTAGGACTCACAAGAAGGACAGGGAATGGGACTTCCTTCATTTATAAACATAATGCCCCAAATTGAAACTTTGATCCAGCTGAATAAACCGGGCTCTTTTCTCCTTCTTAGATTCAATTGAGCTACAGAAAGCCAAGAAACATAATCAGAGATTGGATGAGGAAATTCTGGCTTTAAGAAGGCGCGTTCGATCCCTCGACTCAGATAAAAAAGCACTTGGAGAAGTAGTAAGTTGTTTAATTTACTTTGTTCTTAAAAGATATTTAAATGTGTATACAGTAACAATAAGCTGCTAGAGCAGTGTACATTGCCTACTAGTGAGGACTGACACTGTGACTATAACATCCCACACAGATGCCAGACTTTGACCTGGATTCAGTCCAATTGGAATTTATGTATTTTTACTAACTATGTTCAAAAGTAATGGTATTGCTATTGTGTTCATTTAAAATCCTTTTTTTTTAAGATTTATTTATTTATACATACAGAACTGGGGTACAGGCCAGAAGTGTGGGGGATGAGAGGAATCACCAGAGATAAAGTGGGGAGCAGAACAGGCAGATTGACGAAGTCCTCTGCTGAGGGGAGCAGCGGGCAGGTCAGGTGAGGTCTGCCACACCGTGTGGGTCACCTCCCTGGCTGGGGATTGAACTCATGCAGCAGTGGCTGTGGTAGCTTCAGAGTGTTGTACTTTAACCTGTGCACCACCACGGAGGGCCCTAAAATCTTTTCTTTTTAACTAGGATTTAAGTAACACTTGATACTGAATACAATTGCCAAATAGAAATTTTTACTGTATCAAGTAAATTGGGATTATCAGTGTTAAACCCTTAGTTGTGTGACATTTTTAAAGCATTTCTTCTTAGCAATTTACTGATTGTTTTGAACATATACTGCTAAGTTCTGAATATATAACATGTCTCTTTAATTTTAGCTTATATTCACGTCACAGTCATATCTCTTGCACCTAACACAATGCTTGACATATACTAAATACTCAAGAAATTTTGTTGCAAGAATTAATAGGTACCCTTTAGGAAGGCTATTATCAAAACAAATAGAAAATAACAAATATTGGTAAGGATGTGAAGTTTTACATTATCAGTGGGAATGAAAAATTGTATAGTCACTGTAGAAAATAGTATGTCATTTCCTTTAAAAATGTAGAATTACCATATGATCTAGAACTTCTGCTTCTGGGGATGTAAGTAAAAGATTTGAAGGGCAGGGATTCTAACAGATATGTGTACACATGTGAACACATAGCATAGTGTGTTCATAACAAGTCTTAAGATTACAGTTACCCACCTTTCATTGGCAGATAAATAGGTAAAATGTGATATCATTTATATTTTATATAAGTATGTATATAAAACACACACACTGGGATATTATTCAGCCTTAAAAGGGTAGGAAGGGCCCTCCCTGGTGGCGCAGCGGGTTAAAGCACAGCACTGAGAAGCTAAAGCCACTTCTGCATGAGTTCGATTCCCGCCTGCCCCGGAGGAGACCACATGGCGCAGCAGACCTCTCCTGACCCGTCCGCTGCTCCCTTCAGCAGTGTACTTCGCCAATCTGCCTGTTCTGCTCCCCACTCTGTCTCTGGTGAAGCCTCTCACCGCCCCTGAGCCTCTGGCCTGTACCCCAGTTCTGTATGTACAAATAAATAAATCTTTAAAAAAAAAAAAAAGGTAGGAAGTTCTGACATATGCCACAACATGGATGAAATGTAAAGACATGTTAATTGAAATAAGTTAGTCACCAAAGGACAAATAACACGATTCACTTATATGAGATACCTAGAGTAGGCCAAATGACACCAAATGAATGGTGGCCGCCAGGGAGTGAAGGAGAAGGACACAATGGGAGCAATTATTTGATAGACTTAAAGTTTCAGTTCTGCAAGATGCTGAGAGTTCTGGAGATGGTTGGTAGTGATGGTTGCACAATAATGCGATTCTGTTTAATGCTGCTGAATCATACACTAAAAAATGGTTAACATTATAAATTTAGTATTACATATTTTGTTATAGTTTTAAAATCATAAAAATGAATGATAAATAGGGACTGTTCAAATTGTCTGGTTATTATATGTTTAATATATGTGTACACACAGGCACATACATATTCATATGATATAAAGTTCAGGAAAGGTCCATCCCAAACAATGTTACTTCTGGAAAGAAAAGAGAATTTGGGGATCAGTTTAAATGAAAGAAAATTTCACTTTTTATATTCCTAGGTGTCATTTGATTTTTATATAGAGAATATATTCACTCTACTACTTAAATATTTTAAAAGCCAACTACCTTCCCACCCCACAATTTGGTATTTGTATTTGGTATTTAAGGTTGAAAGACTAAAAGAAGAGATTCGTGAATCTCAAGAGAAGGAACAACCTGGAAATCACTCCCCTGGAAAAAATGTGGGTGCTGAGCAAAAAGTAGAGGTATTTTAGTTACGTTCTTACTGTTTTCAATATTTTAAAGTGGGTCACATTTTTACAAATGACACCAGTGCAGGTGGTGCTGATTATTTGCTACTCTTTTCAATTACCTAGGCAGTTAGAGTGGAGGAAAAAGTGGGGTACAGAGTACCCCCACCTCTCCTCTGGCAGCAGTTACTATGAATACAATGAATTGTTCCTTTCAAGAAAAAAGCAAATCTTACCGAAATAACCAATTTTATATTTTTGATTATCAGCCAAGATTCTGTTGATGTATAGAATCGACTGGTGGATGGGGGAGCCACACTGAGCATAATAAAATCATCATGGAGTAACAACAGGTTCCCAGGTGTGCAGTGTCTAATCTCTTCAGCATTGTCTTGTGAAGTAGTAGACAAAATCATCAAACACAAGACTGAAGCAAAGCCAAGGGGTTTAAGATAGGACTCTTTCAGAGTTGGCAAGGAGCGAGACAGCTTTGGGGCAGCATCTCCTCTTTCATACTTGAGACGAGTGATGTCCTGTGTTGCCGAGTGATCTTGTTAACCAGAGCTTGTCTTTGCTGTTTGACTCCCTGGGCCCTATACCCTAGACAGACCTCTAAGACAGCAGGGAAACTGTAGCTACAGCATCTTTTGGTTCCCCACCTATAAAACAGGTATCCCTGCTATCTTCCAAAAACCCCACTGCTGATAAATAATGTACTTTTGTAAAAAGAAAAGGAGGGGAGAGAGAGGTAAAGAAGAAAGGAGGGAAAGAAAGAAGAAATTTCTAAGTAGGTCTTTAATAATTCCCAAAAGCAGTCCCAAAGAATCCAATGGTACTCCAATTTGATATGTTTGTTAGTAACAATTTGTATTTGTTTCTTATACTCCAATGTATTTTTTTAAGATTTATTTATTTATGCATATAGGCCAGAGGGGTGGTGAGTGAGAGGATTCACCAGAGACAAAGTGGGGAGCAGAACTGGCAGATTGACAAAGCACACTGCTGAGGGGAGCAGCATGTGGGTCAGGAAACGTCTGCCACACCATGTGGGTCACCTCCCTGACTAGGAATCAAACTCGTGCTGCAGTGGTTTTGGAAAGCTTCATAATGTGGTGCTTTAACCTGTTGCGCCACCAGGGAGAGCCCACTCCATTATTTTTTAATTCAAGTATAAACAATTTGAATATTTATTCAGCTTTCCTCTTTTCTTGTTTTTTGTTGTTGTTGTTGTTGTTGTTTTACTATAATGCTTCTAGAGATCCTTCCATGTCATACAAAGAGATCTTCCTTACTCTTTAGAGCAATCAAATATTCTATTGGATTGCTGTAATTATAGAATTATAATTATTCTATTGTTCACTATAATTAAAGTGAACAAGTCTCCTGTTGATGGCCATTTGGGTTGTTTCCAGCCTTTTACATATACTGCAGGTGTTTCTGTAGGACAGTCTCGGAAATGGGACTGTGATGTTAGAGGATAGATGCATCTATAATTTTGGTAGATATTGTTAGGTATGCCTCAGTGGGAAGTATACCATTTTCCTTTCCCATCAGCAATGTATGAGAATGACAGTTTCAAAAAAAATTTAACAGACTATGTTATATGTCAAATCTGTTTTTTTAGTAAACAGTAGGTGAGAATTGACATCTCAGTGTAGTTTTAATTTTTGTCTATTTATAGAAATATGTATATTTTTCATGTTGAACTATGATATTTCTCGTATAAAATTGACTATTGAAACATTTAATACAATAGAAACATATATATATTAAGAGTAGTTCGATGAACTTTGACAAATACATAACCACAACCATTGCAGGAAAACATATCCACTAGCCTAAAAATTTTCCTTCCCCTTTACTTTCTTTCCCTGCTCCATACTAGCCTTCCCTGCTCCATAGTTTCTTTTCTAGAATTTCAAATAAATAGAATTGCCCAGTCTATACTCCATTGTGTTTGACTTCTTTCACTTCCGAGAATGCTTTTGAGATTTCTGGTTGCCTACTGAGTAGCTCATTTGTATACAGGCTGCTGAGTAATATTCCTCCATATGGATATAACACACATTGTGTATCCACTCACTGGTTGATAGACAGGTTGTTTTGACTGTTAAGAATAAAGCTCCTACTAGTTTTCACTAGTCTTTCCTCCCTGCTTTGGAATTTCTGAGTGGAATTACTGAGTCACAGAGTAAACTTATGTTTAATTTTATAAAAAACTGTGAGAATCTTTTATCAAAGAAGTACTGTTTTACATTCCTGTCGGAAATGGTATGGAAGTTTTAGTTGCTCCTCATCTTCACCAAAGTTATTGTCAGTCTTTAATACTAGTAGACATACAAGGTTATCTCATTGTGATTTTCATTTGACTTTTGAGAGTATCTAGTGGCAAGGAGATTGTTTGCATGTGTCCATTTATGTATGTTCTCTTGTGAAACATCTGCTCAAATATTTCGCTCATTTTTAACTGTTAGGTGTATTCTTTATGTTGAGTTGTGGGAATTCTTTATGTATTTGGAATATTAGTCCTTTAGTAAATTTATGCATATCAAATATTTTCTCCCAATCTGTGGCTTGTCTTTTCATTTTCTCAGCAGTGTGTTAATGAAGACTGATTACTTTAAAATTTTTATGGATCCCAATTCATCAATGTTTTCTTTATAACTTAGGATGCAAAAAGTCAAAGAAATTTATTTACACTAAGGTCACAGTATATTTCTCCTAGCTCTTCTTCTGAAAGTCTTGTAATTTTAACTTCTACATTTAGGTTTTTGTGCATTTGAAGATATTTTTTGTAGATGTATATGGTAAGGGTTAAGGTTCATTTACCGCCAGATATATATGTAATTATCCCAGGATCATGGGGTAGTTATTTCCATATTGAATTACTTTGGTGTCTTTATTAAAACATCAGTTATATAGGTCTATTTTGATCCATTATTTTATATATGTTTGTTCTTAGTAAAATATCATGCAGTTATTTTAAGTCTTGATATTAGAAAGAAATTATTGCCGATTTTATTTATCTTTCTCAAAATTGTTTAAACTCTTCTGGATCCTTTGCATTTTCACATAAATTTTTAAATAGCATCTCAGTTTTGACAAAATGCATGCTAGAATTTGATACAATTTGGAATTGCATTTAATTTTTGTATCATTTAGAGAAAATTTCTATTTTTACAATATGTGTTAAAATGTGTAAAGATAGTCTATCTTCCCTTTACTTGGGTCTTCTTTAATTTATCTCAGCAATGGCCTATAGTTTTTAGTACACAGCTCTTACATGTATCTAATTAAATTTATTCTTTAAAAAATTGAAATATAATTTTAACATGTTCAATTCTTTGGTTTTTAGTGTATCCATAAAATACAATTATCACCACTGTCTAATTTAAGAACATTTTTATTGTCCCAACAAGAAACCCCACACCCGTTAGTAGCCATTCTTCATTCTCCAGCCCCCTAGTCTTTCGACAGCCTCTAACTACTTTATATGTCTATGACCTTGCCTACCCTGTACATTTCATATAAATTATATCCATTAATTTCCTTATCCATTCATTTGTAGGTCCAAAAGGGGGATGCCCTCTTCTACTAGGAAATTTTTATGGATTCCTCAGTTCCTCCCATTCTCCCAGCTGACTCAGTCTGGAAAGGTGGTTATTACCAGTCCCCATGTGGTTGCTGACCTAGTGGAACTTGGGAGTCTGTGGCAGTCATGACTCTTAGGTGTTTCCCAGCCCATGCAGCTCTGGTCAGGATTGGAACATGCTTTAAGATCACAGATTCTTAAATGTGGAAGTCAAGATTTCAGATTTCAACTGACCGTAAAACCCATGTTTTTGCCATTGTGTTTCCAAGAATCTTGATGTTCCGCAGATAGAAAGCGCTAAGTGTACACCTTCACATCAACCAGAAAATTCTTCACTTCTGGGCTTTTTTCACCATGGTTTCTCCCTGAGAATTCTTTTGAAAATAAAAGGAAGGGTGAAGTGCTACAGCTTTAGAAAGCCAGTCCCTTTAAAACAAGCAGCTTTCTTCTAATATAACTGTGCTCTTTATCTGTTCTCTATGCAGACAGATTTGGCATTAAACAGACTACCTTAGCAGGGTTAGTATGCATCATCTCAAAGAACAATGCTTAAAAAGTAAAAAATGCTAGGGATCTGGCAGGAATAATAATATCCATAATATGTGGAATACCCATCAAATGCCCTCCTGATCCTGTGTTTGTTTTACAAACACAATCCCATATAATCCCTATCACTGCCCTCTTCAAGGTAAGTATGAGTATTCTTATTTTATATTTGAAAGAACTTTAAAAAAAGTTGAGAAAAGTAAGAAGCAAGGCCACAACTTGATCTTGGTTTGTCTAGCCCTAGGGTTCACTTTCTATATTATGCCCATTCTTGTGAGGACTTTTTGGTGGGGATTTACTGTAACCGATGGGAATTGAGCCTGCTGGCCACCAATGTATGGGGACCATCTGCCCAGAGGCCAGGCAGCATTTGTTTCTGGCAGCATCCGCATTAGCCATCTTCTTCGTCTGCATGGTGAGAGGGCAAAGCCCAAGTGCATTGGGAAGACAGTCTGAAAACTGCGGTTCACAGCATTTCAGATAATAGAACCTTGGCCGTGGAAAATTCTGAACTGTTACACCGTTCACCAGAGTAGCTGGTAGCTTCTCCATGTTAATAAGGCGACCCCTTGGCCAGTTCTTTGTTTGCTGCTGGCTGACCGGTAAGGGAGCCCCTCAGCTGCCCAGAGTTTCCTGTCCCTTTGCTCATTTCTCACATTGTTTGTTTCTTTCTTTTCCTGTGTTTTTCTGCTTTAAACTTTGTTGCTGGTCTCATGAAGTATATGAAATTGTGTCTATATGCATTTACTATATTCAGTATGCCACAAATTATAGTGAATTTCAAATATGTATTATTTTGAAAGCTATCTTTTAAAGGTTAGAACATTAAAATACATGATATGAGGGGAGTTTCATTTCTGAGAGTTGAAGTGTTTCC